AAAGCTAAAATTCATGTCATTTCTTCTTTGCCACATCCTACTTGCATTAGGGAGTTGAGATCATTCTTAGGCCATATGGGCTTTTATAGAAGACTCATTAAAGATTTCAACAAAATTGCACTTCCACTTTCAAAGTTATTGCAAAAGGATATAGACTTTCACTTTGATGATTCATGCAAATCTAGTTTTGACATGTTAAAATCCATTCTTATTCTCCCTTCCATTTTGAAAGGCTCCAATTGGTCTCTTCCTTTTGAAATGCAATGTTAGTCTAAAAAGATGGTAAAAATTTTCATGTGATTACTTATGCATCAAATACCTTGGATGATTCTCAAGTCAACTACACAACTACTAAAAAAGAGCCTTTTGATATTGGGTTTGCTTAAAGAAATTTAGATCTTATTTTCTAAATTCTAAAGTTGTGGTTTATATAGATCATGTAGCAATCAAGTATCCTTTTAAAAAGCCAAATGCCAAACCAAGGCTTATTAGATGGGTTATTTTGATGTAAGAATTTAACTTAGAGATTAAGGATAGAAGTGGATCCCAAAATCCTCAAGATGAGGTATATTATATTATTTAGTAAATTATAGCCTTGTTGTTGATACCTTTTCAAATAAGTCCTTACTTGCTTGATGTTAATTTTAAGTCCATTCTTGAGTTTTGTCATTCTCATGCTTGTTTTGGGCATTTTATTTCTAATAGGACAGCTAGGAAAGTCTTGGATTGTGGTTTGTATTGGCCTACATTGTTTAGAGATGCGCATTCATATTGTAAATCTTGTTTAAATTGTCAAAAGGTGGGAAGTTGGGGCAAAAGACATGACATGCCAAGAAATAAAGTTTTATTTTTTGAAATTTTTTATATGTAGGGCATTGACTTTATGAGACCCTTTCCTCTTTCCTTTGGCTTTAATTACATTTTACTTGCAGTTGACAATATATCCAAATGGATAGAGGCCATTCCTACAAGAACTAATAATATCAAGGTTGTTTTGAAGTTTCTAAATTATAATATTTTTTGTAGGTATGAAGTTCTATGAGCACTAATAAGCAACCAAAGCTCTCATTTTTGTAATAGCTAATTGATGAAGGCTTTATTGGCTAAATATGAAGTGACACACAAAGTTTCTAAACTTTATCACTCACAAACGAATGGTCAAACTAAAGTGAGCAACAAGGAAATTAAAACAATTCTTTCCAAGGTTGTGAAGACTAATAGAAAAGATTAGAGCACAAAGCTTGAGGATTCTCTTTTGTCTTATAAAACTGCTTATAAAACTTTGTGCAAGGTTTATTAAGGCTTTATTCCAACTTTAGGGGAGTCTCATCATAACCATTTGAAGGATCCACCATGACTAAGTTGTTTCTCTCTACTCTTACTTTTTTACCTTTTACATTTTATTATTACCATAATTTGAATTGTTGGATTGGATGAATTATAAGTATAGGGAATTCATTTTAGGTTGTGTTTTTGTAGTTTTTGCTTTTAATTTGTTGATTTTTTTTGATGGCATGTGTTCTTGGTTGCTAAAGCTTCATTTTCACCTTGTTATATCACCATACATTGCCATTCAATTGCAAATTGCTTGCTCTCTATTGTCAAGGCACTATCTAACTAGTGTCATGGCACTACTAGCAAGTTCCCCCATTTTTATGTTGACATGCTCTCTAGTGCCATGGCACTTGAGTCCTTTATTTTTTTTCTAGAACAACACCTTCTCTAATGTCATGGCACCCTTCAGACAATGCCATGGCACTAGTGCCATATTTTTTCTATCATCATTTTCTACCTATTTCATTCATACAACAACAATAACTTTCCAAAGTCATTAATATATCTTCCCACTATACTCCTACCATTGCCAAGGCACCAAGGTTTAAAAAAATCAATAATTTTTTTAAAAAAACTTTTCTCCCACTTTTTCATTGCTTCTTTCTTGATTTCTTGTGCACATGTTTTTAGTCTAAGTTTGCATTAGGGGCAATGAAATGACTAAGTATGGAGGAGCGAACCAAAAATATTTTTAGTTTTTTTTTTCTTTTGTTTCTTTTAATAAAACAAAGTTTACAAAAACTTCATTTTGTTTTTTTTTGTTTGATATTTCACTCCTTGGATTATGTTTGATGAAATGATTCAGCTTTTATCTTGCATGAATTAATTTGGATAGCATAACCCTTGTTGGAAGGATAATTGAGTTTAATTGATTCCTTTTTAGTGTGCATATATCCACTTATGCTTTTTCACTCTCTAGAACTTGTTTCTATTCTTTTTCAAGGCTACATTTGCACTTTGCATTATGAAGATGATTAAGGAATTCATTAAAAATAGCTAGTTAGCCAAAAGGCCAACCCTAATTGTGATTTTATTCCTTGCAAGGCCTTTTGAGCTTTCTAGTTCATATTCTTTTATCCATTCATGCTCATACTCCTCACTTTCTCAAGAATGCATATTGATTCATAATATTACTTTGTTAAGATAAATTGGCATATCTTGATTTTAAGTGGTGAATTTCTATTTGTTCATTTTTTAGTTGTTTTTGTAGGGTGCAAGGATGAAAAAAATGTAGTTCAATTGTTTAAAGAAGAAGAAGAAGAAGAAGAAGAAGAAGAATGAAGTGAGAAAAAAATAAAGAAAAAATACAAGGAAAAAAAAAGAAGAAATTTGAAATAAGAAAGGAAAAAAAAGGATGTATAATTGTGAATAAAATCCCTTGCTACCTTGTTAGTTTGTATTGTTTGAATGATTTTCATTACTTGAAACTTATTTATGCCTTTAAATCTCACATTTGGTTTGATTGATATATGCATCCATTTCCTTTCATATGCATTCTTACATTCCCTTTTCCTTTACCAACGTTACAACCAAATGAAAGTCTTTTTGATTCACAAATGCATTTTGCTACAAGTGGTGGAGATTTATAATTTTGACAAGCCTATGGTAGGGTGATTAGATAAGTGGATTTGAGTCAAAATTAACCCTAAACACTAATGAGATGAGTGCAAACATTTTTCCTTGTGTGGCTATCTGATTTTTGATTCATTCTTACTACATGTTGTTATCATGGAATTATTCTCTTTGCATGTTGATAATTAATTGGATAGTTGATTGATGAATGGTCATTAGCACTTGATTTTGCAACTTCAACATTTTGTTTTTCCAACTTTATTCTCTTTCTTATCTTGGTTCCATTTTTAAAATGATATTGCCCGAGAGTGCAAAAGGCTTAAGTGTAGGGGAAGTGATAATTCATATATTTTATACACTTTTATCTCTCTTACAAGACCGCTAGTGTAGATCGAGATTAGATTGCTAGTGCTGACTAGGACTAGATAGCCACATGTGACCAGAATCAGATGGCTGGCTCCCACTATGACTAAGACCGGACCCCTGACTTTAATTAGGACTAGCAGTCTCGTCTCTATAGGAGTCAGTCATCTAGTCTCGGTCGTTGCTTGTACTCTGGTCTTGGTTGGTACCAATAGTCCAATCTTAATAGAAGTCGGCCCTTTGGTCCCCGATGGCATCAGCAATCTGATCCTGATCGGCAGTGGAGGTTCGTACTAGTCATCGCTAGCTACTTGTTTCTAATGGAAGCCATCTGTTCGGTCCTAGTGAAAGTCGGCGCTCCAGTCTTGGTTCATTAGTGGTCCAGTCCTGGTGAAAGTTAGTCGTTCGATCCCAGTCATCGCTAGCAGCCCATTCCTAATGGAAATAGGTCGTTCGATCCCTATCATCGCTTGCACTTCGGTCCAGTCGGCGCTAGTGGTGTAGTCCCAATGGCTTGATTGTCTAGTCCCATTCATGGCGGTCGTTAGGTCCTGGTCATTGTGTTCGGTTTGGTGCTACCGGCGGGCCGGTCAAATTACAAAGAGATTGAGATAAGATTTAAAATAATAAAAGATTTAGAAAGGACTTCAAATTACAAAGAGATTGAGGTAGAATTTGAATTTAGATTTGAATCATTGTACATTTTTAATTATCTAAATAATAGATTTAACTCAAATTTAAATTCAAATTCATATCCATCCAAATATAGTATAAGGGAAATGCTCCATGGATGGTACCGTTACCTAACTGGAGAACCACGTGATGTAATAGATCAACAAGTAGCCAATCCGAAACTTGCACATAGGACTCGTCTCACAAATCACAGTAGTAGTATGAATTAAGGGGCCAATTGTCACAACATCTCTCTCTGTAACTGCAACGTGTTTCTTTGGGGATCAATAAAAATTTACATTTATACTCTTAATTTTATCTGATTCTTGATAGTAATATCATCTATGTGTGATTGAAAATTACTACTAATATTTATGCCAACTTTTTATCCAAAACAACAACCAATTCGCCAAATTTCTAATGTGCTTAGGATATGTTTGTTTTGGATTGAGTATGGCGAAAGCATGATTTTGCTTATTGCTCGAAGCAGCTCAAGAATGTGGTTTTCATGTTGATATACAAGTAAACAACACATGCTCACATTTACATGGAAATGGAACCGCAACATTCGCATTATCTATCTAAGCAAAGTCGTTAGGTTAAAAGTAAAGGCTGTCTCCCCCGAGTTAACTGGCATGTTCCTAGAAAAATCATTCTTCCATGTCCCGAAGGAATCATGCTTCTTATGTTAAGCAAATATAAGATTTAAAAATTTTATATATGTATATGCAATACAAAAAGTTGTATTATTCATAACTCATGAACAATATGATTTTTTTCAAATATCATCCAAGGCATGAGTCCATAATTTTGTATAGATTCAAGAATATAAAAACTCCATAATTATTTTCAAAAATTAAAGTTAAGAAAATTTTCAAAGAAGTACTTTATATTATAAATTTCTTACAAAATAATAAATATCATGATATTTGATAATGAATATGGTTATTAAAAGTAATTCACGCTCCAAAACAGGTATAAAAAAGCCACCTTGCAATCAGAACTGTCAATTTTATTCAAAAGCCAGGTGATGAAGTGTGTGTCGGCGGAGAAACAGCATGGCGTATCCATGGAACATCGTAATATTGAAGCTGAAGCTTCTTATTCTCGTCACCTCGTCAACTGTATTACTAACAAACCCTTCATCTCATCCTGCTTCACAATCTCTGCTTACAATTCCTCTGCACAAAAAGCTGAGACTGAAGCAGCAGCCTCACTATCATCCTGAAAAAGTAGAAGCAACCATGAACTTGTACCCAAACGTCAATGGCTACGCGGTGTTCTTATGGGTCGGAACTCCGAGCCAAATCCTCTTAGCTCGGATCGACACAGCCACTCATTTCACATGGGCTCAATGCCAGCCTTGCAGCGCCTGCTACCCACAGACCCGCCCTCTCTTTGACAGTCGAGCATCTGCCACTCTTCAAGAGCTTGCCGGGGACTCCCCTGCTTGCACAATCCCTGACATGCGAGACGTCTTTTTCTTTCCTCAAGGCTCTTCTTGTCGGTTCAATCTAAAATATGCAGAGCAATCTCGATCCTTAGGAAGAGTCGTGATCGACTTGTTGACTCTGGTTCCTTCCAACACAATCCTCGAGCAATTCGTCATGGGTTGTGCAGATTCTCACGAGGGTCCCTTCAGTACTCACTTTTCTGCAGTTCTTGGGCTGGGTCGTGGTCCACTGTCTTTGCAGAGCCAGCTCCGTGCAGAGGCATTTTCTCTATGCCTGTCATTGGAAAAACCCTCTCTTCTGAGTTTCCATGGCGCCTCGCCTCCAAAAGAAAACTATGATAGTAACTCTATTGCGGTTCCTCTAAGCCAGAAGGATCGATATCCTCACTATTACTTTGTGCAGTTTGTGGGTATAGGTGTTGATGGGTTCATGCTGGATATTCCATCCAGGGTTTGGGGGTACGGGCTGAACTATGATAGTGGGGTAATTGTCGATACCGGGTCGAATCTGATGCGTTTGCCAAGCGAAGCGTATAGTGTTTTTGGGTCAGAGATCAGAAGGAAGATGGGGAATTTTAGGCATAGATTGGTGGGGCCAGAGGGGTTGGAGTTTTGCTACGACGAAGAACCTTCAAGTGTTTACCCAGAAATAGAATTGTATTTTGAGAATGGGTCGATCGAAGGTGAGAATCTTGTTACGTTGAAGCTGAGTGATGAGCAGATAGTCCTAAGGCCAGAAGAAGGGGTGGTTTGCTTAGCTTTTAGGGAAGGAAAAGATCCGGCTTTAACAGTCATCGGGAACATTCAATTACTGGGGACACTATTGACATACGATCTGGCCAAAGATCTTGCAGTTTTCACACCCGGAAAATGCTAGATGATGATGCTGTTGTGTGTGTGGGGGGGTTTGGATTAGACAAACAAAAGAGTTACTGAACAAGGACATCCCGCAGTTTCAGTTACTGCTCACTGAACTTGAGAAAGAGCGCTAACTTATCTAGCCACTTGATATCAAAATAAAGCACATGTAGAAACCTTTTTCCTTCATTTTCTTGTGGACTCCCAAGTTGTCAGCTTGCAGGATTGTTAAAAAACGAGGACGTTCATCCTCTCCCTTTTTTTTTTGGTTTTTTGGGATAAAAGATGATAGCATAATCAAGAAAGATTACATAAGGTTTTCCCTATGGAGCATATATCTTTCCCTTTCTTCCATCCCTACTAACAAAAGTCGATAAAACTTAAAGACATTGCTTTGATTACCCGTATCATGGGCATGTCTAGTTAGAGCAGTAGCCATGCTAACGAAGTCTCTATGCTTAATGTTAACGCTTACAGACTAATTTCTGAACAATAAATTATGACCTTCTCGAATAATATTCTAGAATGGGTACGGTGTCCCTTTATCTCATCACGTGTGATCATAAGATTGATAACTTGAGTACAATCAGTTATGACTATAATATCTTTGAAACCTTTTTTTCAGCACAGATCCAAACCAAAGGTGAGAGCCATCACACATGTGCTTGGACAACTACTAAATTTCTCTTTCTTTATTGTGACCTGGTTATATTTGGCTAAAAAATAAATCATCCACAACCTTTTTTTACCAATGTTGTCACAACTATACCGGACCAATGGGTTTGACACTTTGACTGATTAGGCTAGTAATTGATCATATGTCCCATTTGGAACCGATAAAAATGGTCAAAAAGTGAATGGGCAGAAAATTGGTCAAAACTAGTATTTTCTTTTCTTTTAAAGGAAAATTTTCAATCAAGACCGTTTGATTAAACACAATAAAGAGCCAGTCCCTTAAAGTTTGAAATTTTCCAGTAGATCAAGAGTAGTAAAATAAAATTAAAATGCAAACCAAAACTATTTCATTTTCCTTAGTGGCTTAAGCTTGTTAAAAGATACTTGCAAATTTTTCATATTGAGGTTTTTATTTTTCATATTGAAGTGGTTAATTTTCTTATCAGAATTTTTTGTACATAGAGTTTCACTTAATTTTATTCTTAGTATTATTATTATTATGGTAAAAAAAGTTGTCAATTTCTCATATTGTAGTTTTTCATTGTCCATACTGAAATAATTATTTTTCTTAAAGGAATTGTTCGTGCGCATAATTTCAGTTGATTTTATTTTTTGTTCTTTTATCATGATAAACATAGTTGAAAATTTTTCATAATGAAGTTTTTCATTTTCCATACTGAATTGATTAATTTTCCCACACAAGTTCTTAGTGTGCATAGTTTTACTTGTTTTTATTCAAATTGTCATTGAAATTGTTCATTTCCTATGCTGTTCTTGTTAATTTTCCTACCAGAGTTTGTGTGCATAGTTAATTTTCCACTTGGGACGATGACCTAATTCTAGTTTGCATTTTAATTTTATTTCACTATTCTTGATTTGCAATGAAACTTCAGACTTTAAGGGGCTCACTTTTTTAGTATATTTGGTCAAGGAGTCTAAACTAAAATTTTCTCTTCTTAAAAAGTATTCAATAACCCAAAATTATATCATTTTTTTATTTTTTGTTTAGTGTTATATATACTTGATGATTCATTAGTGGCTTTGGTTAATTATGGAAGCTTGTAATAGCTTAGTTGGACAATTAATCTCGCATACTTGATGATTTTAATTATCTGTAATAGCCAATAAATAACAATTTGGGTTAGGCATGTATGAGTAGTGGCGGACCTAGAATCCATAGTCAATGGAGGGTAGAATTTTTATTTTGGTGAGGCACAAATGATATATACTCGATTGATACCAAATTTTATTTGCCTCATATACTGAAAGCAATAAATGGAACCATATGAACTAGGTTTTCTACATGTACAAGAGTTTAAGACCCCATCCACTTATTTAAATAATAATGATACATCTACCATGTATACCAACTTTATTTGCTAAAAATTAAAAAAAAAACAAATTGAATATATAAAAGTAGAAATTGTTTAAAACTATATAAAAGGATTTTAGTAAAAATGTCAAAAAATTTAAAAAATAAAATAAATGATTCCACTAAAAACGTAAGAATTGAACGGTTTGAACTAAAAGTTTAAATTAAAAATAATCATTCATAGTATTTAAAGTATTCCAAAATTGCAATCCTCTCTCACTACTCACAATTATAACTTATAAGAAATCCTATTTCATATATATTAATTTTAAATGATTCCACCGTCAATTTTACTCTTTCAATATCTTAAATCTAAAGTCCAATATCAAATTTATACTTCTTTTCTTACAAACTTTACACCCCCAACCCCCTTCTTAGACTTACATGAATGTCATCTTCCCCTCCCTCTATTTTCCTCTTTTCTTGTTCCTCTTTTGATCATTAGGTTCAAAACTAATATATCAGTGAGGGCAAATTAAAATCCAATTCATATTTACGTTAGGTGTCACAAAATTGAGGGGAGACAAATGCCCATCCTCACATATATGTAGAATCACCCATGTGCATAAGATTGTGTTAGTTTGGCATGCATGAAATTAACATAAACAAATATTACAAAACATATTTGGGCACGTATGACAATATATAGATAAATATTATCATCCAAGTTGTTGAACTTTGGTTTTGAAGATTAAAAAAATAGAGAAGATTGTTTTTGTAGATAAGAGTACATGGCTAATTTAAGGAGATTAAGTAGCTATGTGTAAAATTCTCTAGCTTTCTTGGTCCTCTTTTTTTCTTCTATCCTTGAAATATTTTTTTGAATTATTTCCTGTCCTTAATTTAGTTTAGCTCGAACTAATCTTGTTTAATCTATTGGTGAACTAATTCTTGGACATACCAATATCTATAACTCCTACCGGTATATCTTCATCCTATTAATATAACTCCTTCCTACCCAAATGTCTTAGGTGTTAGTGTACTTGTCATTTCTACCTTTATGCATGGACTTCCACTGGTATGACTGTTTCCTACCCAAAGATATCTCTTCTATCGAAATGTCTTAGCCTCTCTTCACCTATGAGTTCCATAGGTATATCCCATTTCTATTGGTATATCCTACTTCTATCCAAAGACCTATCTTCTACCCAAATGTCTCACATGTTATATATGTAATGTGGTATTTCTATCGGTATGCTTATGACCTACCCAAAGGTTTATTTCCTACCCAAATCTATTAAGAGCTATCGATATATATCCGTCAAAGTTAATGCATTTTACGTAAGTCCTTCTAGTATAACTCTCTCCTACTTGTATGTGTCTTTTTCTCTCTCTCTCTCTTCAATCCTTCCTACACATACTAGTATATACCCTTTCCTACTAGTATATCTTTCAAGAATTCTCCTTTGTTTTTTGCTTCCAAAATAGAGTAATTTCGAAACTCATTCATACTCAATCCTCTTCCACTTCCATGTGTTGGGTTCTCACTTTTATCTACCTAGAATTCTTTTAAATGCTTTTTCAATCTTTGATTATTTCTTTCTACTAGTATAACCCTGCTCTACTAGTATCACTCTCTTTTACCTTTTGTCATAGCATTTAATATATATAGCCGTTACTTTCTTTAAGGCACCAACAGCATGCAATCCTTCCAGAAAAGCACTATTTTATTGCCTCAAACTATGCAAATCTCAAAGGAAACAAAGATGAAGTATTCAATGGCAAATACATAAGCCTAATAGATCTAATTCAAGAATCAACTATAAATAGGACTCATTTATGAAGCGAAGATGCAGAAGTTAATTAAGCCAACTACTTGCATTTATTCTCTAACAACTTTATATTATTGCATTCAATATTCTAAGTGCTTCACTGATTGTATATTCACTCTGAAAGAGAGTTTTATCATAGTAATGATTCATTATTGAATTCACTTTATCCTTCTCTATATTTCTCATATAAAATAGAGTAACTTAAGCTTGGAAAGCTTAAGGAATTTGTAATTACCTTTGTAAGGGAAGAAATTCAAACTTAGTTAAGAGTCTCGGTTGTACTGAAACAACTAAGAGCCTAGTTTAATCTTGGTGAATGGTAAGAAATCTTAAAGGTGCCTTGGGGACTAGACGTAGGCTCAAATGGATAAAGTTGAACAAAGATAAACTCTTTATGCTAAAATTCTCTTCTCCTCACTCAAATTTATTTGCTGAAATCGTTCCTTCCTTATACTTATATTTGTTTAAATTATTTTTTAATTTTTAATTAACCCAATTCACCCCCTGTCGGGAGGATTTACGCAAGTTGTTTTTTCTATATGTATTATTTAAAAATAATTTTTTTGAATAAAAATACCATAGTAAATTGTGTAAGGTATAACAATTAGTTCATGTTAAAGCTTATAAGACTTATGTAACCTATAGGCAGATCAACAAAGATCATAGTATCTAAAATATCGTTAGAAGCTCAACTAGCAAACCAATCTATGCTTTTATTCACTTTTCCAAAGGTATAGTCGAAAATTATCACTTAGACTCTCATGACCTAATCTTGTTAATAACATCTGAGAGAGGGTGATTCTAGGTGAGATCATACTAAATAAGTGTGAGAGCTTCAAGCAAGTTTGAGTAGATGTTGACTTTGGCAAATTTTCTATCCTAATAAAGGATAAGTACTTCAAGAAAAATATATTTTAATTGTAATCAATTCGACTACAATATGACCATTGATTAGTGAATGAGTGTCCTAACTAGCTCAATATATTTAGTCTAATTCTAACACCATTGAATTTTACTAGGGGTCAATATTATAACATCTATTTCTAATCCTACATTAATAATTGATTAATGAATGAATTAGTAATTTAATATGGGATTAGAATTCTAGATAGTGAACTGTTGAGTTGACTTATTATGATATTATATGAGTAGATATGAGTAAAAGAACAGCATCCCCAAGTAGAGCATGTGAGTATAGTG